GTGCAAGGGTGCTGGGGGTGGGGAGCTCCCACCTTGGGGAGCTAGGGTCCGAGTGCCAGCACCCCACCCAGGTCCCCTGAGGAGCTGCAGCAGATTTGGTGGAAAGCATGGAAGAGCAGCCCCTGGCGAGGCTCGCTGGAAATCCCAGCCACGCAGCACCTGTGGGTTGTGGGGCGGCCATGCCCACTTGTCTGCTGCCGCTTCCCTGTGAGGCCAGTGGCCCTGTGGGAAATGCTTGTCACAAGACAGCCTCGCCTCAGAGCCACCGATCTCACCGTGACAGGCTTCACATAGAAGTTTGCTAGCCCATTTATTTACTTATTTAGTGGTTTGTTTATTTGAAAGGCAGAGTTAGACAAAAAGAGATCTTGCATCGACTGGTTTACTCCCCAGAGGACTGCAGTGGCCAAAGCCAGAACCTGAGCCACCAGGTCCCCCACCAGGGGTGGCAGGGACCCCAGCACCTGGACCTTCCTCTGCTGCTTTCCCAGGTGCATTAGCAGAGAGCTGGATCACAAGTGAAACAGCCAGAACTTAAATTGGTGCTCACATGGGGTGCTGGTGTTGGCGAGGACTAGCTTAGCGCACTGTGCTACAACACCAGCCGGCCTATCTTAGAGACAGGCACGCTGAGTCCATACCCACCATGAGAGGACGGCAGCTGCACTGTGCTTTTTCTTTTCTTTTTTTTTTTTTTAAGTATTTATTTATTTATTTTGATGATTTTTACTTAGTTAATTAGGGTGATAAGGATCAAGGGCTACATTGTCTGTTTTTCCTTCCTGTGTCTGTGAGGAGGGGAAGGTAAGGGGAGAAGCCATACTAACCCTGAACGCACTCGATCCCGACTGTGCTGTGCTTTTAAATGGGACCTGGAGGCTGCCAGGGCCTCCAGATAAAGCAACGGTCACTGTTCCGCTGGTGCCCACACTAGACGGCCTCCAGATACTCAAACAAACAAATGATTGAGACTCAGACTTGGAGCAGGGAGCCTCTGGGCCCGTGGGCACCACTGTGGAGACCCTCATTTCACCCTCGTGCCCCTGCCCAGCCGCCTCAGGGAGCAGCCTTCCAGGCCCTCCCACTCAGGCCTGTCTCCCCCAAACCCCCAGGGAGCATGTCAACCACAGAGGCCTTGCAGGAGTACCTGAAGGTGGTCATGGCCCTCAAGTACGAGGAGAAGCCGCCCTATGCCTCGCTGAGGAAGCATCTGGAAGCTCCGCTGAAGGACCTGTGTGTGTCGCCCTATGACCCCCTGGACCTTCCGATGGTGCCGTAGGGACCCAGGTAGGAAGGGTGTGGAGTCTTCGCTGCCCAGGCTCCTAGGCACTCATCCATGTGGGCACCAGGGCCGGTTCCCCATGAAGCACCTGTTTATCCATAGCCTTCCAGAACTTTCTCAGAAACAGAAACGGGGGCTCTTCTAGCCCCAGGATTCTGGGCCCCAGGAGCCATGTCAGGACAGTGCTTTCCCTCCTCCGTCCTCATGCGCCCACTCCCCACTTCCTCTTGGTGCTGCCACACGTCCATGTGCAGGGTCCGCTTTCCTCAGAGCAGTCCCTCGTCCTCTCCTGCATGGAAGCTCAGCCTCGGCCATGCTCACTCTTCTGTACCTGGCTGTTCCCCTGTGGCTCCCTCTGCTCGGCACAGGGCACCTGCCATGGCAACACTGGAGGGTGGGTGGAGTGCAAGGTGCTTTTTATGCCTGGTGCCCGACCTGACCATTTCCCGGGGTTTTGTTGTGAGCCCGGTCCTGCTGCCACTTTCAGCACGCTGACAGCGACCGCGAGGCCGCCCTCCACAGCCGTTTCCCTTCCTGAAAGGAAAGTCCAGCAGGTGCAGGGCAGGGGCCTGACAGGGCACTGATGTCCCCCAGGCCTCTTTTGAGTGGCACTGACAGCCATTTTTTTTGTCTCCCAGAATTTCTACACACACTTGGAAATAGATCTTTGGAAGAAGAAATAATGTGACTCCTGTGCTGAAGTCTACTTACAGATCAGCTTCTAGAGAAATCCCTGAAATGCGATTTGCTTCCTGGAGCACTGGCTGTCCATCCCAGAGCATCAGGGAGCGAGACGGGCAGCTGCGGCCGTGTGATGTGAAGGCTCTCCCGTCCACCTGCCGGTGGCACTGCTACACTTTGGTAATAAATTGTTTTATCAGAACTTGGAGCACCGGTGTCTGGAAAGGGAGTTCTTATCGGAAACACGTGGCCCCTTTTTGTCCCCCTTTCGCCCACCACCTGCCATCATCTCCTCAGACTGTCACCAATACAGGATATACCCTTGTGTCCATTCTTCCACTCACCTGTCCATCTGTCTACCAACCCACTGCTCCAACTTTCCTGCCGTGCAAGTTGAAATTCCCAGTGTCAGCCAGAAGCACAGGAGCAAGGGCATCCAGACACGATGACTTCCGCCGAAGGCTGCACGGCTGTGTCAGCCCAGGGAGCGAGTGCTGGGGAGGCTGCAGCCCTTCCGCTGGTCTTTACTCCTCACACTAGGGGATGGGGCATGGCTTCTCGCCGCAGCCTCGTTGGCTGAAGCTTGGACTCAGCCTACCTCGAGTGAAGTTGTGGCTGCCAGCTGGCAGACGCACCCACACAGAAACGGAGCAATTCGGCATCTGTAGGACTGAGACTTTAACTTCTCCCACACTGTCACCCATGTGCAGATCATTGCCAGGAAGCTCCTGAGCAGGTGCTGTGGGTAGGGGAGCTGAAGAGAGTGGGGGCAGGGGACGGCTCATGGCAACCTGACTGGATGGGGGGACACTTTGGGGGTGACCTGGTCTCCCTTCTGTGCCTTTCAAATGTTAGTTTTGTAAAATTTCTTTAAAAAGATTGATGGATTTATTGAAAGCGGAGCTTCCAACCCCAGCACAATAGCCTATGCTGAGACCCCATATGGGCACCTGTTCGAGTCCTGGCTATTCCACTTCCGAACATTCAACTCCCTGCTTGTGGCCTGGGAGAGCAGTAGAGGATGGACCAAAGCCTTGGGACCCTGCACCCATTTGGCAAACCCAGAAGTTCCTGGCTTCTGGCTTTGGATCAGTTTGGCTCCAGCCATTGGAGTCAGTTGGGGAGTGAACCAGAGGATGGAAGATATTTCTCTTGGTCTATACTTCTCTCTGTAAATCTACCATTCCAATAAAAATAAATAAAATCTTCAGGAAAAGAAAGAGAAGCTTCCATCTGCTGGCTTACACTTCAGATGGCTCCAATGGCCATGGCTGGGCCAGGCTGAAGCTAGGAGCTCCATTCGGGGTCCCCCGGGTGTGTGGCAGAGGCTCAGATATTTGAACCATCTTCAGCTGCTTTTCCCTTGTCATCAGCAGGGAGCTGAATCAAAACTGGAGCAGCTGAGCCTAGCATGGTAGCCTAGTGGCTGAAGTCCTCACTTTGCATGTGCCAGGATCCCATGTGGGCACCAGTAGGTGTCCCGGTTGCTCCACTTCCCATCCAGCTCCCTGCCTGTGGCCTGGGAAAGCAGTGGAGAACGGCCCCAAAGCCTTGGGATCCTGCACCCGTGTGGGAGACCTGGAAGAGCTCCTGGCTCCTGGCTTCAGATCAGCTCAGCTCAGCTCTGATTGAGATACAAAAAAGGAGATACAGAAAGGCTTTCTACCTGCTGGTTCACTCCCCAAGTGGCTCCAGAAGCTTTACCCCGAGCCAGGGGCTTCTCAGAAGGAGGCTGACCCCATAGGCCATAGGTCTTAGGTCACAGCTCTTTCCTTCCCTTAAGTTTATTTCCCAATGCTGTTTGTCCTGGTGGGGGCATGCGGTGCGGGGCACACTGACTGCTCGCTGGCCTTGCTGAAGCAGGAGACAGCCAGGGCCCGGGGAAGAGAGCGGAAAGAAGTCCAAAAACCTGGTTCAGAGAAAGCTTCTCACGGGGTGAGCAGCAGCTTGAGGAGCAGGAACCCAGGGCAGGCGCAGGGAGAGCAGCTAAGGCTGAGCCTGAGAAACACAGGGTCCGTGAGAACCTCGCGGCCAAGACCTCTGCCCCACTCCCTCCTCCCATCTCCCAGTTGAGCTGGGTGAGAGGCCTGTTCCTGAAACTGCTGGGTGTGAACTCCTGCTCCGTGGCCCAGGGCAGGCTCTGGGCTGTGCGCTTTGCTCCCTGTATCAGCTCTCATGCTCTCCACAGAGGCGCGGATCAGTCTGCACCTACAGCACTGCCATTCCGGGCCGTGGGGACTTGCTGCGTGACGTGGCCCCTTCCCTTCCCTGGCTGTGATGGCACAACACACCTTGTCACTCAGCCCCTAAAACTCAGGGCTGTGCCACCCACGTAGGCAGCTTCGCCTGGCCCAGCCATGGCTGTTACAGGCAGCCAGTAGATAGATCTTGCTCCACCTTTCAAACAAAATGAAAATAAGGTTTATTGTGGGGGGAAGGGCTGGCTAGCAATATGGTGTGGCGAGTTGAGCTACCATCAATGCTGGCATGGCATGTCAGCCCACTGGGAGTACAGCTGCTTGGCGTCTCACCCAGCTCCCTACTAATGGGAATGCGGCAGTGGATGGCTAACGTGTCTGGGCCCCTGCGCTATCGGGGAGACCGTGGGTCTTGGCTGCACCTGGCTCTGTCAGCACTCAAGGTGAGCCAGCAGGTGGATGCTCCCCGTCTCTCCCTGCCTTCGATCACCCAAGCACGAAGTAAATAAATCTCTACAAACAATACTAAAATGTTTTTTTCAGATAAGCATGAGTTTTTTAATCTTTTATTTTTTAATAAAATGTTTGAACAGGCAAGTTTGCCTTAAGAAGAGACAACACACAAGTCTCAGGAAATTCCACATTTTATTTTTGCTTACATCGCTGGGGATTGGCCCCCACCCTACCCTCAGCCCACCCTCGCCTAGATGCTGCCCTTGCCCCAACACCTTCACAAAACACTGATTTTTCTCTCAGAGCTAAAATTGACACCCAGCCACCACCTAGGGCCGTCCCCCTGGCCTGCCCCCCCCCCTTCCCCACACACACCTGCTCTGGGAACCTGGTCACCTGCGTGTGGCTGCCTGCCTAAGCCGGGCTGGATTCTCGGTCTGGAGTTCCCTTCTTAAAGCAGCCCCCCCACCCCCCCAATCCTGGTCTTTCTCTCTGCCTGGCCTCAACTTCCCAGCTCTTAGGGCTGCCCCCCACCCCCACCCCCTGTGCAGGAAACCACTGCGGCCTGGCTGGAGCTAGAGGGGTGAATGCTGCTATGGACCGGAGGGGCGGGAGGAAGAAGGGGGGACAAGGAAGCCAGCAGACACAGATGGGGAGGGGAGAAGCTGGAGGCAGAGGCAGCTCCCCCGTCCCCGCAGTGACCACCCGCCTAGCTGCTACGGCTCCTCTGGCTCCGGGCCTTGTACACCTCGATGAGCAGGTCCTTGACGTACTGGATCTCCCGTTCCACCGACTCGGCCCGCTCCCTCAGCTCCCGGTTCCTGGCTTCCAGCCCCTGACACTCGCCCTCCAAGGCCTCACCCTCCGCCCGCTTCCTCTGGCGGTACCTCAAAGCTGCCGACTTGTTCTGGTCTCTCTTCTTTTGCTTGCGGTCCCCTCGGGTGGCAGCAGGATTGGGGTAGGGGGCCGGGCGAGAGGGTAGAGACAGAGGAGGAGGAGGAGGAAGGGGAGGAGGAGGAAGTTGCTGGGGTGGAGGTGGGGGCAGGGGTGCCAGGCCCGAATCCCCCTGCCCAGCCTCTCCCCGGCAGTAGATGGCCAGCAAGTCGAGGGTGTCCAGGGCCGGGGGCTGCGGGAGGTCAAAGCTGGGGACAGGGAGAGGAAAGGGGGGCGGCGGGGAGGGGGGCGGGAGGAGCGGGGCCTCCAGGAAGAAGTCTTCCATCTGCTCCAGCTCCTTCTTGAGGAGTGAGGCCATGGCTTCCAGGTCTGGTGGGGCAGGGGAGGGTGGGGGGAGGGCGCCTGGGGGCAGGGCAGGCTCCAGAGGCAGGAGGGCCGTGACGTCCACTCGTTCAGTCATCCAGTCTGAGAAGCCGTCACCTGGGAACGGGCCAGAGGGGAAGCGAGGCGCCCTGAGTCCCTGGTCCCCCACCCAGTCCAGTGGTCACTCAGTTATGTTCCTTGCTGGCTCGTGTGTCCATCAACCAGCTGACCTAGCCCGATAACAGTCAGCCAGTCAACCCACTAACTAACCAATTATGCACCAGTTCAACAGTCCGACACCCATGGCTTCTCTGGTTACTCTTAAAAAGTAAACTAAACACACACACCCCGTTTCATTTTTCTTCATCTATTTTTCCCAATCCACAATATGCCAAACACTTGGATACAGCAATATTTTCTGCCTCCCTCAGGGCTCTCAGTGCTGCCCTCTGCCCCTCCCTGGGCTCCTCCACCATCCCTGCTTCCCCACTGTGGTGCTGCCTCCTGGGTGTCGGGCCCCCAGCACGGCCCAGGGTCTGCCATCCACCCGCAGAACTAGCAGGTGGACACCTGCTCCCTTCTTCCCCCAACTCCACTCACCAGCTGCCCTTACCTGCCAGGGGCTCTCCCCCCCCTGGCAGCCCGCCCTCCAGGGCTCCCCCGAGGACCTCATAGGGGCCCAGGGGGGCAGGGGCCAGGGGAAGCTTGCCATAGTCTACGAGCCAGCCCAGCCCGCTAGCTGGGACCAGGGTCCTGTCCAGCTCCAGCCCCAGGGTCGCCAGGAGTGACATGGCTGCGGCACAGACGCTGGCCACTGGGGATGTCGGCGGCAGCAGACGAGGCTGGGGCAATGGCTGGGGGGCGGCTCAGCAGGCTGGTCAGCAGAGTGGACACAGGCACCAGGGTGATGGCGGAGGACCTGTGGATTCAAGACCGCGGGTCAGAGGCTGGCCTCCTCACCCCATCGTCCCAGCCAACGCTCCAGGTCAATGTGGCTTGGCTCAGAATTCCCAATCTGCACCTCACCCCCTCCAAAGGACCCATGCCCACTTATTCCCAAGGGAATTCTGAGCCAAACCTAACCTTTTCCTTACAATCCCCAAGCCCCTCCGTCTCCAGCCCCTCCCAATCCCAGGGGAAGTGTCATCCAGGCACATCCCATCTTCTACAGTATCCCCTTGGGATTCCATCCTTTCTACACGCCACCCCAAATGAGTTCCCAGCGGGATTCCTCCCTAGGCTTGTTCCCCACTCAGGCCCCGCCCTCGCTTTAAACTCGATGACGTCATTGCCCTCCCTCCTCCAGAAAGCCAAGGCCCCGCCTCCTTGCCTCGCTGAAACCCCGCCCCTCAGGTAACGGCCGCCTCAGCCACGCCCCTCCCCTCAGTGGTACCTCAAGTCCCGCCCTTCGCCAACCGCTGAGGCACCTAAGCCCCACCTCCTTTCCCTGTCCATCTAAGCCAGGCCCCGCCCCCAGCGAATGCCCAACAGGAAAGGAGGGAAGCAGTGGCACCGCGCATGCTCAGTCGTCGCGGGTCACAGCGCATGCTCTGTCGTCACCGGAGCGGCTCAATTGTTCGCGCACGCCCCTGCCCTCTTGGGATTGGCCCGCACGCGCTGTCGCTCACAGACGGCCCCGCAATAACGTCCAACGAGGCTCTGGGTGGGTCAGTGCGCATGAGCAACCGCACGCGGGGAGCCGGCTGCGCTCAGGGAGAGCTCCCCTCCCCCACCTCGGCACCAGTGCGCATGCTCCCTCGCCTGCCAACCACCCAGCGACCCTCTTCTGCGCCTGCGCGAGCACGATTCCACGCTGACCCTCCCCCCGTAACTCCCATCCTGGTCGTGGAGTCCGCGAGCCACGAAAGGGCGGGAAGGGCGGTTGGCGAGGGAGGGGCGAGCGGTTACTCACTCCATGGCTCCGGCTAGAAGAGTCGGCGGCGGCGGCCTCGGTTGAAGAGGAAAGGCGGGGAGCGGAGAGCGCAGGCGCGGTAAGCGAGGCCACGGGTAGCGGGGGGCACCCAGGGAGGCGGGGTGGCGGCTACAGAGCCATGGTCGGGCCGGGCGGGCAGCGTGAGCGGAGATGCTGATCGGGAGGCTGAGGAATGAGGCGGCCCAGGGGGGACCTGGGCAGATATAGCAGGGGCGGCGCGGCCCGCCCGGATCCCTCCGCGCCCCGCCCCTGCGCGGCCCCAGGCGGCAGGTGGCCCGTCCTCTGGGGGGATCGGGGATCGGGGATGGGGGGTCGGGGATGGGGTTCCCGAGCGTCCCCCTTTTCCGAGTCCGGCATTTGACTCCTGAGAGTGGCCGGTTCTCTGTCCTCCTCAGACGCTCTGCTTTCCTCCTTTGACTTTTGGGGATTCGGGTCCTACACACTGTCCCCCGCCACCACCCTCCCGTTTCACGTCCTTTGGGTTCCCTGCTTCACTTTAATTTCCCGCCGGCCACACTTGGCTCTCTGACTTGGCCCCTCAACCGCCGTCCCTCCCCGAGAACCCTCGAGGCTTGGGAGTCACCACCGGACGGCGCGTTCCATTCAAATCGCCGACCAACCGGCCGGGCCGGAGGCGGAGAGTGCCTGAGGCCAAAAAAAAAAAAGCTAATTTTTTTTTTTCAAAGTTTGCCGGCCTCATTTCTCTGTTAAGTCGGGGTTGGGAGGAAGCGGAGCCGCGTGTGCAGAGCCCGAGCACGTGGCCGGCTCCCGGTGCGGGATCGCGGACCCCTAGGGTGCCATTTCCTAGTGAAAGCGAACTTGAGCCGTCCCCGTCCTCACGGTTCTTCACTCCTTTTCGGGGAAGACCCCTCGGTTTCCTCCTCAAGACATCCCATCCCGAAGTCAGCCGGTCGCTGGAGGCAGCTGCCCGGGTCGTGGAGGCTGCGAGGCCGTGGAGCCCACGCACTCTAGCCCCAGAAGCCCCCAGCCTCAGTTTCCCCTTGAGCCCAGTGTGGAGGGTGAAGATGGGGAGCCGGGTGCACTGCCAGGTGCTGCCCCTTGGGTCCTTAACTGAGTTGGAGGTGTCCCAGGTCCCTCAGTCAGCAGGAACTGCCTCCACCCCGTAGGGGACACACACACACGTACATGTTGGGGCCAAGCAGTGGCCTCAAGCCCGGGCCTCGTCTCCTGTACGCAGGGCAGGGAGTGGGGTGTTTGTATTTGAGAATAAACTATTTGGGAATGTTTTCCGTTCACAGTGAAGTTGCTGATACCCACTGTGGCGCGGGTGCTGCTCACTCCAGGGAGCTTGCTGGGGGGCACAGCTCCCAGCCTGGGCTGTTTCCAGACTCTCCTTGGCTCCAAGAGCCCTGCTTGAGTGTGCTTCAAGTGTTTGATTTTATCTTTTACTTATTTATTTGGAAGGCAGAGTTACAGAGAAACATCCACTGGTTCGTTTTCCAGTCACAGGGGCCTGGGCAGGCTGAAGCCAGGATCCTGGAACTCCCGCCAGGTCTCCTTGGGTGGGTGGCAGGAGCCAAGGTGCGCGGGGCCACCTCCCACCCCCTTCCCAAGCGCATTAGCAGGGAGCTGGATCAGAAATGGAGCAGCAGGGGCTTGAACTACGCACTCATGGGATGTTTATGCTGCAGTGCTAGCTTAGCTTGCTGTGCCACGTGCCGCCGTGCTGGCCTCTTCAGTTTGGTTTTGTCTCCTACTTAAATTGTGCCTTTTTTTCTTTTAAGATTTATTTTATTTTTATTGGAAAGGCGGATATACAGAGAGGAGAGACAGAGAGGAAGATCATCCGTCTGATGATTCACTCCCCAAGTGAGCGCAACAGCCGTTGCTATGCCGATCCGAAGCCAGGAGCCAGGAACTTCTTCCGGGTCTCCCACGCGGGTGCAGGATCCCAAGGCTTTGGGCCGTCCTCGACTGCTTTCCCAGGCCACAAGCAGGGAGCTGGAAGGGAAGTGGAGCTGCCGGGATTAGAACCGGCGCCCATATGGGATCCCGGGCGTGCAAGGCGAGGACCTTAACCACTGTGCCATCGCGCTGGGCCCAGATTGTGGTTTTTTGAGAGGCTGGCTCAGTGGGGTACTGCGAGTGGATGGAGAATCGCCTTGCTGGCTGACCGCAGTGCGTGCTGGCAGAAGGTACTGCAGCAGGGACACAGTCCCCGCGACCTGGCCGCTTCCAGCCGTCTCCCTCCCAAGTCAGCCGTGCCCCGCCCCACCTGAGCAGCTTGGCTCGGTCATGCCAACTGGGTGCTAGTTGGTACACTTAGCCTTCCAACCGCACTGGCACCTTCTGGTTTACAGATGGTGGGTCTTGTTGGCACTCCGCCACTCAGATGACCTTGCATCCCCCAGCCTTGCCTAGCTAGGCATGTGGAGGGTTGAGGTCCTGGCCCTTCTGTCCTTGGGGAGGGGGCTGGAAGCAAGGTGGGGCTGCGGGGGACTCTTTTTTGGCGCGGAGGAGTCTGCCTTTGGGGGGAGTGAGATGGCCTTGATTGCAGGCAGGTTGCATCAGCTGTAGCTCTGCCTGGGAGGAGACTCCAGGGAATTCTCTGGGGGCCCAGGAGCACCTGGCAACTGCCAGCACCTGCTCAACCCTGGGTCAGGGCAGGGCACCAGCCACCCGCGTTAGGCCCGAAGCATCCAGCTGTCTGGTACCTGCCAGGGCCTCCTGGCCCAGGAAGACCAAGCTGAGGTGCCAGGAGGCCGAGGAGGTTGTTCAGCTGCTTAGCTAGAGCTGGGACATTGGAACTGGGAGGCCTCCAAGCCAAGGCCTTCACCTCAGTTTGGCTGCTGCTTGCAGTTGCCACATCCTATCGATTGCACCCTGTGCTGTGGCAGCAGCCCTTCAGTGTTTGCCCACCAAGGTAGGGCCCAGCGTGATGGGAAAGGCCCCAAGGTTACGCCAGACAATTCAGGCAGAGCACATGCATGTTCCACCTGCCCCACTACTGGGACCCTCGTCCAGTGTTACTGTATCCTCAGGCTTCAGACAGGGATGCAGGGGAGATGGGTGATGCCAGAACAACCTGGGGTGCAGGGTCTGTGTGTGCTGACCCTTCCTGTTCCCCTTTTGGGTCCCCCCAAGCACTTAGAGGGCAAGATCAGGGCCCTTCTCTATTGCATAGCCATTGCTGCCCCCCAGGCAGGCAAAGAGCTGTTGTTGTGCAGAAGTTGGGGGGGTTCTGGGGGAGGTGACTGGGTCACACAGAGCAGAGGGCAGGGCTTGGAGGTGGGCCTCCCAGCAAACAGTGCAGGAAGGCCAAGGCCAGCTTAGCTGGGGAAAGGGCAGCAGGGGGCAGGCAGGCTGCCACGTGGCCCAGCAGCTCAGAGTCCTACAGAGCCCCTGCTGCCCCCACGGGGTCACTTGGTTTGTTTCCTGTTGCCACTGGCACACTGTTACTGCCCTAGAGCCCTGGGAATGGGCAGGCAAAGGGTGCGGGGGACACGCCACTTGTGTCCCTCAGCATCCTGGGAGGCTGCTTGGGAAGAAGGACAGGACAATTCTCAGGTACTTCCAGCCACATGTGCCTTGCGAGGGGCAGGTGGAGTGACCACCGGTGATAGAGCAAGCCAGAGTGAAGTGTGCGACAGGCCCTGGGCAGCACCTGGCTCAGCAAGTGTGAGCTGTCACCACACATCTGCAGTCTGAGTCAGGGACCCAGCAAAAGCTGGAGCTCAAGGTGTTTTCTTTGTGTGAGGTCTCGGTTTTCCAAGGATAGCAACTAATTCAGAAGAAACTTGAGACCCCGTCCCTGTAACCTTCCGGGGTTGGAGGATTCTCCACCCAGGGCTGGGGGTGGATGGGCTGCCCACTGAGAGGGGCTTCCCCAGAAGGAGGGGGCTCTCCCCAGGCCTTCTGTAAGGGAGACTGGGAGGGCTGGGAGCTGGGGCAGCGGAACCGGCAGTGGGAGGTGCATTTACGTGGAGGAGACGTGATGGGAAGGCTTCCCACCTCGAGCTCCCTGGTGTCCCCTCAGTAGGCAGGGTGAGGGCTGCTTTATGCCCACCCCTGCCACCACAGGAAGGCTGGAATCAGGGACGCTTCCTCACTGCAGCCTCTGGGGCCACGGGGAGTTCCAGTGAATTCAGGGTGTGTCGCAGGCAGTAGATGGGGGTCTGGGACGTGCTGGTGGTGGCAGGGAATGGTAGGCCAGTGGCTGGGCACTCCGAGTTCTAATGGCAAGATGCTTGGGTCCTTTAAAAAGCTTTCATGTGCTTATCTGCGAAGTGGGCATGAAAATGGTTCCCACCAGTGCCAATAAAGCCCTGAGCGCAAACTGTGCCCACAGGATGTTACATTGGGCCTGGGACCGATGGTAGCTAGGCTAGTTCCAGGGTCAAAGCCACTCTGCCCTCATGCTGGTGGAGGGGGGGAGGTAGAGGGGTCTGATCCCCACAGGGCACCTGCTGCTGTCTTCAAGCCCCTCCCTAGGTTTCACTGGGGCCTATGGTGGTTAAACTCCCCCTTACCCCTAGAGAGCAGGGTCCTGGGTGAGGGCAAGATTGAGCCTGGTCCCAGCTCACTCTGCAACCTCAGCCTCCATCTGGCTGCTTGCCTGACATCCCCTGCACCTGTGCGGCCTCAGGGTCTGTCACCTGGACACTGGATGATTTGCTTTTTCATCCGCCTGTGGTTTTGTTGTTGATTTCTATGAAGTGAACAATTGTTTGTCTTATGCAGGGCATGGAGTTACTTCCCGCCTCACCCTCCTTCCCTCCCATGTTCACACCCTCCCTTCTTATTTTTTAAGGCTTTTTTTTTTTTTTTAAAGATTTATTTTTATTATTTTTTCATTGGAAAGGCGGATATACAGAGAGGAGAGACAGAGAGGAAGATCTTCCGTCCGATGATTCACTCCCCAAGTGAACGCAACGTGCCAATACTATGCCGATCCGAAGCCAGGAGCCTCTTCCGGGTCTCCCACGCCGGTGCAGGTTCCCAAAGCTTTGGGCCGTCCTCGACTGCTTTCCCAGGCCACAGGCAGGGAGCTGGAAGGGAAGTGGAGCTGCCGGGATTAGAACCGGCGCCCATATGGGATCCCGGGCGTGCAAGGCGAGGACCTTAGCCACTTGCGCCACCGTGCCGGGCCCAAGGCTTTTTTTTTTAAAGATTTATTTATTTTTATTGGAAAGTCAGATAATA